GGTGATGAACGGGGTATAGGGTGCCTGGGCAGAAGGCTGTCGAGGCTGCTCCTAGGTTTCTGGCTTGTGGACTGAGTGCAGGGTAGAGCATTCCTAGGGGTAGGAAATGCTGAAAAAGGATCATATGTTTGGCTTTGGGCACACTGACTTTGGGGGACTCTGAACCATCCAAGTGTAGATGCCAAGCAGGCAGGGGAATGTATGGACCTGGTGCCTAGAGGAGAGTGAGGTTTAGAGGTGAAGCCTGGGAGTCATCAGCTAAAGGTGATAGTGAGAGTCTCAGGAGAGGCTGGGAGCACCCAGGGAGAGAGTTAGAGCTTGGAGCGAGGCCCTTGGTCCACGCCCAGGGAAGATCTTCTCATTGATGCAGAGCTGGGTGAGCCATGCCTCTGCCCTCATGACACCCACACTCATGAGCCTAGGCTGAGAGCCAAGGGGACGGCAAGTAGAGGAAGGATGATCTCTAAATGGGGACACGTTCCACAGGCTACGCGCTCTGGTCTTCACTTCTCCTGACTTCAGTTCGCCTCCTCTGAGCTCCGCGGGGAGTTCCTGATGGCCAGGCTTCACTCACGCCCCCATCTGCTTTACCTCATGTCCTGAGCCAGCTCTCTCGTGTCTCTCCACATCTGTGTCATTATTGCCTGGTACACCTTTCTGGAGTGGGGACGACTGAATGATATGCTGCACTCTTATCACTGGGGCGGGGGGTGGGGTGGGGTGTGGCATGAAAGCAGACCCCAGGCAGCCATGATCCACATGTCAGAGAGCAAGCAAGGGGAGCAGCCAGGGTGGCTAAGCCAGCCTCAACCCCCAGATGGCACCTTTTGGGGATGGTGGCTTCTGGAGAGTGGCTGACTCTGAATCTGAGCTGCCCTGAGTCATAGTTGCAAGTGTGCATACATCTGCTAAGGAGGGCTGGTCCTTGTGTGAGCTCTTTACCGCCCACCCCCATTATGTATCCGGGTGGTCTTGGGCTTTTTAGACTTGCATCCAGAGGTTTTGAGGCCTTCTCTGTAGCAGAGTCCTTCTGTTGTCGGTTCTGCCCTGGGCCGGCATGCGGTAGGCACAACTTGGGGGCAGGCACGTAGAAAGGCAGAAGGGAAGAGGGACGAGGCAAGACTGGGCACCATGGGAGGAGGCCCCTCCCTAGTGTTCTGAGCTGGAGGCCCCTGTGGTGAGCCAGCATGCATGCCCACCCCTGCCCTTCTGTGTTCTCTCCTCGGGTAGTGCCTTCCCGGCCTGCCTGCCTGCCTTTCAGAAGCTACCCACCCTTCAAGACCGAGCTCTGGCTGAATTCCTCTGGAAGCCTGTTTTGACTTTGTAGCCCACAATACAGATTAGAGCCCACAATACAGAAATAAATTATGAAAGCTTTCCTCTGCTGGTCACAATTGTGTTTCCTGCATGTCAGCTCTATCTTCATAAAGAGATGGTTTCTCCAGTGCGGGGACCAAATGCTGTAGGTCCCCGGAAACTGTCCGGCAGAGAGCTGAGCACTTCATATCTTGGTAACTGACCAGTAGCTCTGTTTCAAGAGACCCGGAAGAGCTTGTCTTTTGCTCATTCGTTTATTCAGCAGGTGCTCAGGCTGAGCTGAATATTGAAGGTGTTATTTCTTCTATAGGATTTGGAGCTTAAGATGAAAATAAAAGTAATTATGATCACCAGTGTTTATTGCACATGCGCAGGCTCACCGCTGTTCTGGGAGCTTTGCATGTGGCCTCTCCTCTCATCTCATTGCAGTCCTGCAGGTTTGGATCCTCCTCATCTGAGAATAACAAAACGGTAGATGTAAACTCCACCATATCAATCATTACATTAAACAAAAATGGGCAAAACAAAATCTCCATTGAAAATGGATTCTCTTCATTTGACAGCTGAGGAAGTAGCCTTAAGGAGGTCACGGAGCCGGCAAGTGGCAGAGCTGAAGTTTGAGCCCAGGCGCCCTGGCTGTGCTGCTTTGCTAGAAAGAGTATTTCTCAGAGGTGGCACCGGGCTGAGTCTCATCAACCATGAGACCTTGGCAACTCCTGGCCCTTGTCTGAGGCTCAGTGCCTCCTCTGTGCAAAGAGGAGTTGGAGTGTTTAATCTCTCAGTCCCCTCCAATTCTAACATTGTGCAATTCCATCACCTATCGGGGTGCTTTCCGTCCAGGGGTGACGCTCGAGGTTTTTTGAAATAGCCCTGCACTCCTGCTGTGAGTTGTTGGGAGGGCTGCTCTGGGGAGGGCTGAGAAGGGGCTGTGGAGCTCTCAAGGACCCTCAAGGGCACTGGAGGATGGCCCTCTGCTCAGAGGACGCCCTGTCCTCAAGGGCCAGCAGTTGGTCTGTCCTTGCTCTCTCCTTGAGGGGGTGTTGGGGCTGGCAAGGGTGCCCACTGGTCCTGCTGCCCCAGGAGAGGCCCTAAAGCCTAAGCCTTGGGCATTGATTCAAGGTGTTTCTCCAGGCAGTGCCCGACCCCCCTGGCTTGCCTGATGCCGCCCCTCTCCTCTTGTCGGGGAATCATGAGAGATTGTGACACCAGCTCCTGCTGGTAGCTCCAGGTCTCCGTGTGCGTGTGGTATGTGTGTGGTATGTGTATGCATGTGTGTGTGTGTGGTGTGTGTGGTGTGGGGTGTGTATGGGGTGTGTGTGGTGTGTATGTGTGTGGTGTGTGTGGGTGTGTGGTGTGTGGTGTGTGTGTGTGTATGGTGTGTGCATGTGTGGTGGGTGTTGTGTGTGTGTGGTGTGTGTGGTGTGGGGTGTGTATGGGGTGTGTGTGGTGTGTATGTGTGTGGTGTGTGTGGGTGTGTGGTGTGTGGTGTGTGTGTGTGTATGGTGTGTGCATGTGTGGTGGGTGTTGTGTGTGTGTGGTGTGTGTGTGTGTATGGTGTGTGCATGTGTGGTGGGTGTTGTGTGTGTGTGGTGTGTGTGGTGTGGGGTGTGTATGGGGTGTGTGCATGTGTGGTGTGTGTTGTGTGTGAGTGTGTGTGTTGTGTGTGTGTGTATGGAGTGTGTGCCTGTGTATGTTGTGTGTGGTGTGTGTGTGCGTGTGTGTTGTGTGTGCGTGTGTGTGGTGTGTGGTGTGTGTGTGGTATATGTGTGTGTGTGTGGTGTGTGTGGTGTGTGTGTATGTTGTGTATGGGGTGTGTGTGTGTGTGGTGTGTGTGGTGTGTGTGTATGTTGTGTATGGGGTGTGTGTGTGTGTGGTGTGTGTTGTGTGTGGTGTGTGCGTGTGTGTGTTGTGTGTGCGTGTGTGTGTGGTGTGTGTTGTGTGTGTGGTGTGTGTGTGTGTTGTGTGTGCATGTGTGGTGTGTGTGTGGTGTATGTTGTGTGTGGTGTGTGTGCGTGTGTGTGGTGTATGTGCTGTGTGTGTGTGTGTGTGGTGTATGTGCTGTGTGTGCATGTTGTGTGTGTATGTTGTGTGTGTGTGGTGTATGTGCTGTGTGTGTGTATGTTGTGTGTGGTGTGTGTGTGTATGTTGTGTGTGTGGTGTGTGTGCATGTGTGTTTTTGTGTGCGCTGCACGTGTGTTTTTGTGTGCGTGTGTGCGTGTAGTGGGAGGGTCCCACCTACTTCACTCCCCTCCCCTGGGGCCAGTATGAACTTGGCTCTCTGAGGCTGTGAGGACTGACCAGGGGGGCAGCTGTGAGGCCATCTTCTTAGGGCCACCAAGGTCTTCCTCCTCCACCACCTACTTCACTCCCCTCCCCTGGGGCCAGTATGAACTTGGCTCTCTGAGGCTGTGAGGATTGACCAGGGGGGCAGCTGTGAGGCCATCTTCTTAGGGCCACCAAGGTCTTCCTCCTCCATGCCTGCGCCTCTGGTCTCGGGTTTCTCATCGTCTGACGCTGTTTTGTCCCCTTGTCTTTTCCTCTTGCAGATATCCCCCTGCTCCCTGGCTCCCCGCCACGGCTGAGCCCTCGGGCAGTGGCCAGAGGAGGCCGGGGCCCTAGACACGGAGGGCGATACCTCCAGGAGCCGGCTCCCCTGGCCCCCGGTTCGCAGGGCAGCTCCTACCCAGCTTCTGGCTGGCCCTGCAGTGGACGGGGCTCCCACGGCAGCTCTGTGAGTACTGGGTGGGGGTCAGGCTGGAGCTGTGGAGGCCCCGCAGGAGCGTCTGGCTGGGGGACATGTGTGCGTGTGCGTGTGCGAAGCCCTGGGTTCTTGCAGGGCCCTTTCCTCTTCTGTCTCGTCGGGCACAGCTTCCCAGCAGCACTGGTTCTTCTGGTCCGAGGACGTGAGCGAGCAGGCAGTGTGAGCGGCCCAGGGCTCCCACCTGGTGCTCTGCACACTCCCCGGCTCTCCTCCCACAGCCTGAGAAACCCGGCCTCTTGGCGCGGTGGCTCCCAGTCTCTCCCCTGTGCCTGGCGCTTCATCTGGTTGCCCAGGTGATGTCTCAGGTGGCTGCGGAGGCATCTGGGTACCAACCCGGTAACAAACAGGGAAACACCCAAAGGGAGGGAGGCCGGTCCCTCTCCTGCCCTGCCTCACTCTCTCCTCTTCTCCCCCTCTCCGCCCCTGGAGTGGAGAGAGCAGGAGTCAGCTCCCGCTGCTGCTGCGACTTTGCCAGGGTCCCCACCAGTGGCAGAGAGGAGCAGGAGCACAGTGTGGGGCTGTGAGGGGCAGAGTGTCTAGTGAATTCCCGTGGGTGGCAAGGTGGGGAGTGGACCAGGTGATGAAAAACTGGCCTTTGTTCCAATGGATCCAGAGAACCTGCCAGTGAGTATTCTCTGTGTGTAAATATGTAGAGCGTTTGCAGGCAGATGTGCAGATCTACGAGGAGGCTGGTACATGCGACTGTGCCACAGTGCACGCAGAGGGTCGTGTGTGTGTGTTAGAGTGCACTTGGGTAGATGCGTGCGTGCACAGCACCTTCACGTGTGTGCAGGAGTGCGGGCACAGAGAGATTGGAGGTGACTGTGTGTGCATGTGCAGGCGCGTGTGCGTGTGTGGAAGTGAGTGTGCGGTTCCATGTGTGGGGCCGGTGGGTGGATATACAGGCGTGTGCTGCTCGTGTGCAGTCTGTGCATGTGAGTACATGTGTGTGCATGGATACCAGAGCGTGGGTCGCTGATGGCCAGACTGTAGACAAGTGGGTGGAGGGCTCTGTGGGCTGGGTGTGGTGGATAAACTTAGGCCACTCTGTCCTTTCGTTGGGGCAGCCAGACGCTCTGAGCCTGAGGGCTCACTTCCTCATCCACCGCCCTGGGCCCAGACCCAGGTCAGCCTCCTCTGTCTCCAACCCCTTACTCACTGGACCTCCCCGCCCTGTCCTTTTCTCTCTGTCCAGGTCATTAACAACTATCTGGACGCCAATGAGCCCGTGTCCTCAGAGGCCCGCCTGAGCCGCATGCACTTCCATGACAACCAGAGGAAGGTCGATTATGTGCTCGCTTACCACTACCGGAAGCATGGGGCGCACCTGGGTCACGGCTCCCCTGGCCACTCTCTGGCTATCGTCTCTAATGGGGAGACGGGCAAGGAGCCCCATGCTGGGGGCCCCAGCGACATTGAGCAGGGGCCGCTTGATGCCCTGGAGGAGGAGAGGAAGGAGCAGCGGGAGGAATTTGAGCACAACCTGATGGAGGCCGGGCTCGAGCTGGAGAAGGACTTGGAGGTGAGGTCGGCAGGTGGCGAGGGCCTTGGGGATGGGGGGGCACCACAGAGCCGAGCTCCTGGTGATCAGTGCCACCCTGCAGGGAGCCTTGGCTTTGCTCTCGCAGGTGGATTTTTTTTTTCCTGCTGGGAAAACCAGATTTTCCTGGTCAAAGACTTGAGGAAGAGTCTTGGTATTTATTGCTAGTGCACCTGCCTCAGGGGTTCCAGGTGGCAGTGAGGGTGAGGTGGCAGGCCCATCTGTTCTGTGGGTGTTGGCCCAGGTAGGGACTGAAGGCAAGACATTTCCTCCTGACTCTCTCAGGCCCCTTTGGTGGCTTTCTTCATAATGGTTTCCTTGGGATGAAGACTTGGTTTGCTTGTTGAACTTTGGATCAAAATTTCTCTATAGGAATCACCTTCACTGTGGGCCCCCTGAGGGAGTCTTGGGGCCTCCTGAGGGAGCTGACTGAGGACATATTTGGGAACTGAATTGGGACATACGTTGGATGTATTTTATCAACTTGTGAGCTGTGTGTACTCTCACCTGTGGTCAGCAGGCTGCCTACGGTGATCCATGGAGACCCACTCACCCACATATCCGTGCATTTGTCCATCTGTCCATCCGTTTATTCATACACTTATCCATCCATTCTGCACACCACAGTGATCCTTTAAAAATGACCTGCCCTTGTCATACTCTCCAAACTCATCCCCTTCTCCTCCCACCCTCCCGAACCCTACTCCAGGTCACTGGCTTTATCTCATGGGGGGTTGGGCTCCCTAACCTTGGGATGGGGTTTTTGTGCTGGTTGTGCCCTCTGCCTCGGGCACTCTTCCCTGGACCTGTGCACATTCATGCCCACACTTCATGTCACTTCCTTCCAGACATCTCCTCTGGCCACCCTAGCTAGAATACCCCACCCCACCGTTCTCTATCGCTGAACCCTGATTTCCTTTTCTTCACTACACTTAGCACTGCTGCCCACAATAACGTGATGGATTTGCTTTTTCTCTGTGCCCCCTATAGGTCCACGAAGACAGGATCTTGTTTGGTTCACTGCACATCCCCAGTACCTAGGACAGAGTCTGGCATGTCATAGGTGCTTAATGGATGTTAATCGAGAGTGACCTCTCTGAGTCTCGGGTCCCTTATCTGCAAAATAATAGGTGCTTTGCTGGACTGTACGTAGCCTCCCATGCCCATCATTAGGTGGGCCAATGGAAACATCTAGCACGGTATCTGGTATACAGTAGATGCTCAACATGATTGTTTCAAAAGGTGTCATGCTGAGGGTTGGGGTGCCATTTTCAACAGAAATATTCAAGATTCAAGTTAACGGTGTCCTCAGACTAAAAGGGGGCCCCAGAGGTCATCCACCCTTTCCTCTGTCCCCAGGCAGGGTGGCATGGGGCCTGGCTCACGCCCTGGTGTGTTGACCCAAGCTGCTTATCCAGACCCTTAGGGCAGGAGATGTTCCTCTTGGGTTACTCGCTCCACGGATGTAGACAGAGTGTGCTCTTCTAGTGCAACGCGGGGCTGCCTTGCTGCGGGAGTGCTGAGTTTTACTTTTTCAAACCCAAAGCTCGCCTGGTACCTCCAACTGGCGTCTGGTGAGAAGGTTTCTCCAACGTAGTGGTGTGTTTCAAGGGCCATACCAGGAGTTCTTGGCTCTTACGTCTGTGGGAGCTGCTGTCCACACACCTGTCACTGGGTGTCCGGGAGTGGAGGCCAGGGCTTTGCTTGGCTGCTCAGTCGGGACACGGTATGTGTCGTGCTCGGAGGCTGGGTGCTGAAGGCCCGCTCCACGTGCTCACGTCCCAGGCCTGGCGTCGGCTGGCCTCACGGCTGCTGGCGGGTTACTGGATCCTTTTGAGTCAAAGTTTCCTTGCCTGTAAAAAGTTAATAATAGTACATTCTTCACTGGGTTGTTACGAAGATGAAACAAGGCAACTAAATAAAGTACATAGAACAGTAACAATGAGCAGCAGTTAGAAAATGCAGGACGCCTAGTTAAATGTGAATTTCAGATCAAGAATGAATAATTTGTTTAGTGTAAATATGTCCCATGCAATGTTGGGGACATACGTCCACTAAAAAAGTATTCACTGTTAATTTGAGATTCAATGAGCTGTCCTGGCCGTTCTCGCTGCCGCTGCTGCAGCGTTTTTCATTTTGGCTTCTGCTGGGCTTTTGCTGGGAAGGATGAGGGCCCAGAGACGGCTCTCGGGACCGACTGGTGTTAGAGGGGGCGTGGGCCTGGCCCTGGCTCATTGTCCCTGTGTAACCACCAGAGCGCCTCCCTCCCAACCCCAGCCCTGGCTTCGAGGCCCTCTGACCTCTTTCCCCCCATGAGGCTGTTCTGGGTTGCTCGGCCTCCCCCAGCCCGTCCGTCGTTGGATACCCCACTAGTCATGTGGCCTTTGTGATTCTCTCTTTTCTAAAAAGTAGTTATGCTTAGTGTTGGGACCTCATATGCAAAGAGTTAACTGCGCTTCTTATCACCGGTTTGCACAAGGACCCTCTTGTCATTTATTTAAATATCCTCCACTCTTCACCGCCTACTCCCTGCACCGGTGGCTGTTCCAGTGCATCACGGTTTTGGAAAATGTGTTGTGTTTTTCCTCCATGTAATTTTTTTTTCATTTAGAAAATAGACTTTATTGCCTAGAACAGTTTTAGATTTACGGAAAAACTGGAAGACAGTAGAGAGAGTTCCTGCATCCTCCATACCCAGTTTCCCCTATTATTAGTATGGTACATTTGTTACCATTAATGAACCAATATTGATACGTTACCATTAACCGAACACCATACTTTATTCAGATTGCTTTAGTTTTTATCTACTGTCCTTTGTTTGTTCCAGGATCCCATCCAGGATACCACATTATATTTCGTTGTCATGTCTCCTTAGACTCCTCTCAGTGGTGACAGTGTCTCACAACTGTAAGCATTTTTAATTTACATAAAAGGGGCTCTGTTTTAGAGCCCATTCTGTCTCTTACGATTTTCTCTCCGCACAATGTTTTGCAGACCATTCGTGTTCCGCACGTACATCTAATCCATTATTTCTAATGGATGAGCAGCTTACAGCCACCACAGTTTACCTAGTCGTTCCCCGAATGACAGCGGACACTTAGGTTGCCCCTGACTGTGTCACCTCCTTCAGGGACAGCATTTCATGATATTCTTCATCTCCCTTCCCTCCCCGTGCCCTGCTGGTGCTAAACCCTGGAGACTCATCAGAGGGAGCCAGTGAGGTTCTGCACCGTCTTCTCCAGGTCGGGATGCTCAGTCTCGGCCTTGAGCAGCCGCCTGGAACGGGTGCCTCACGGGAGAGGGGGCCTTGCTTGACTGCACCTGGTGGCAATTTAAAGAGCAGGTGTGGTGGCCACTGCTCAGCTGTCCCCACTTGCTCCGCTGTCTCCACCCTTCTGGGCTGGGCTTTCTTTTAGGCTCTGGTTTCACGTTGACAAATGGAGAGGAAATGGGTTTCTATCAGAGACCCATTAAAAATCATTCACTTAAGTCTTACAGATCAAAAGAACCACCAAACTCTAGTTGACTGAATAGAGCAGAGTTCGTTTCCAACCCTGGTTGGTATCCGGGCGTACTTTCGACAGGATGGTAATTGGTGCGTACCTCGCATTTGGTGTCTCGTGTTTTCTTTTTGTGTGTGTCTTTCCATGTATTGACATTGTTTATGTTCCTGTTTAAAGTCAATTCAGTATTTTATTGGTTGACCACACCATAGTTTGCATATATGTTCTCTTACATTTGGCCATTTGATTAGAATTTCATTTGAAGACATGGCGATTACGACACTACCAATTCATCTAAACGAGGGCCACCTGTTGGAGATGGGCACCACTTCCAAATGGGAGGCTAAGTTAAGCAGTTCAGAAGACCCACCCAGCCTTCAGCTCCCAGAGTTAGTGTCCTCCAGTCCTGATGGGGCTGCAGAGTGGGTGAGCTGAACAAGACCTCCTGTGGCAGCTCTGGGGAAGGTCCCACCTGCTCACCTCCTCCCACTCCCTCCCAACCTCCTGCCTTGACCCAAAGGGCCAGCAGGATAGAGGTAGAGACTCAGATGCAGGGGTGTCACTAGGGGCGTCTGGGGGGAGAGGAGCTCCAGTGCATGTGGGGGGCTGGGAGGGTGTTTTGAAGACTTTGAGGTAAAGAACTGCTCCCACCCTGTGGGCCCTGAAGTTCCAGCAGACGTGGCCCCAAACTTCATCTTTGCAGGCTCCTAGGTCTTTGAAACTGGGAATGGAGGAGAGGGCTTTGACGGGAGGGCCAGGTGCTCCCTTGCTCGGGGCTGGCTTTCTCGGGATTAAGGCACCAGAGGATGGACAGCAGAAGCTGGCTTTATTCAGTGTGGTCTGGCATCTCCAGAAGGTCCTTGGTCTGTTTTTGGCAGAGTCAGACACAGAAGGGGGCAGGTGCCAGCTGGGAGGCCCCAGAGGCCACAGCTTCACTCAGGACACAGAGCTCTCCTCTCTGGCTGGGTGTCAGGTGGGAATCCAGGAATGACCACAGTCTTTCTCTCTGTGGA